ATCTTCTAATTTTACTAATTAAAAACCTTTTTCCACGTTGCATTGTTTTCAACCAACATTTAATATATATTTATCCTCCTTTGTTATTTTTAGATTTACCTCGCCTACGAATTTTTTTTAAGTATAAGTTACTGTAGTGTATGTTTAAATGTACGTAATTGTAAGTTTAAAGATAAGCTTAAGTATACGTATTAGTTAGAATCCACAGATTTCACTGTGGCATATTCTTTATATAATAGCACACCTAAGTTAAGCTAATTTTTTTGTTACTTTTGATTTTCTTAGAAGTATACCCCACGTCAATTTTATTAATTATTTTCCTAATTTGATCTATTGTTGGTCCAACCTTTGTTAAGTTTTACTTCAAATTCATATTTCCCTGTTTAACGCTATTTTAATTTTTTTCCTCACCTAAGGGCTGGTATTTTTCCAATCATCAATAATTGTTAATTCTATTTATTTTAAGTTTCCCTCACTTCAGTCCGCTGTTTTTATTGTTGTGCATTTGTTATATTATTCTTCTACTACCTCACCTAAGTTTAAACTGCCATTAGCTAAGATTATTCTAATTCGCCAATCATTGTTAACTCTAAATTTTTCTTCTCAGGCCTTTCCTCGCCTGAGTTTAACTTTTCGATAATTATTAATTTTATTTTGACCTCACCTAGGTTCATAGATTTTATCATTGTTGATTTAAATTTTAATTTTCACCGCCCCTATATTTAGGCCTTTTTTCATGCTAATTTTTAATTCGTGCTCACCTACGATAAGCAATAGTTCACGATATTAATAATTATATTCCACCTAAACATAATTAGGTTTACCAATATTTGTTACTTTTCCCTTTTTATTGTTTTTTTTCCCTAGCCTAAGATTAGCTATTTTTATTTAAAAAAAAAAAAATTTTTTTTAATTATTTTTTTTGCCTAAGATTAGCTATTTTAAGATTCATTTTCAATTTAATTTTAATTATTTTTTTCTAGCCTAAGATTCACTATTTTTATTTTTAAATTTAGCTTTAATTTTCCTCACCTAAGTTTCCATGACAGTTTGTAATCTACACTTTTAATAATTTTTCCAACCTAAGCTATCAATTTTTGACAATCATTAATTTTATCTTTCCGCATTAAGGCCTCACCTAAGTTTATCGATTTTTGATTTTGATTAATTTCCACCAATTGTTATGTAATTTTGTCATACATACTTCCCAGAATTGTCTAACCATTTTCCAGCCCTATGCACTTTGTATATTTTAAACATTTTACCATGTCATTTAGTGCCCCTCGGCATGGCACAACTCTGTTTCATGCACTTGCACTAATACGTACGGAATTTTCTTACCTTACGTTACGATTGCGGGATCCACCACTGAAAAAAAAACAACTGGACAGTTGGAAACTTGCAGAAACCACGCACAAGCACTGCCACCACTGAAATTTGGACAACTGCAAAATCGACGCACGATCACTCACACCACTGACAATTGGAAACTTGCAGGAACAACGCACAAGTTCTTCCTCCACTGAAAATTGGCAAATTACAGAACCAAGACGCTCGACCACTCTCACACAGGAACGGGTGCAGTCGAATCTTTCATTTATATCCCTATTTTTCCCATCGTTTAACTTCCTGGACGAAGGCCCTCGTCCTAGATCGCATGGAGTTGAAAAGCGCAGCTTTTAAGAATGCAACCCATCCCTCCTTCCTCTCATTAATCGTGACTGCCTCAGGACATTGATGGATTAATGTCGCGATCATCATCGCGAATCTTCTCTCTCAACCCACTTTCCATTCCTGTCTATCTGACCGACGGACCAATGACGATATAGCATATAGGTATACTCATTAGGTACCAGTTTACTATATAAACTGGCAGCAGCCACAGCACTGGGGTCGTTACTGGTAGAACGAGTCCTGACTGCTGCTGGCCTGATCCAACCTCTTTGCTATTGTGTGTGCAAGAAATAAAGAGAATAAAAGTTGATCTGCTGAATCTCAACCTGTCTCAAGTCGAGCCATTTATTTCCTCATCTCCTCATCTCATCTCATCTCCAAGTGACCCAGCTTCCTAGCCCCAGCGGGGTCATTGAAAGGGGCTAAATCATATTTAGCACATTTCAATCTATGAACATGAACTTATCACAAATAATGCCTATAAATTTTTCAGAGTTTTGAGGGATAACGAACGTATTCCCAGAACCAAATTTCGTTGCTGAACTTAACAGCAGGTGAGAGTCATAATTTCTAAAATTATGCATAAGTACAGGGATTTTGACTTTTTGAATATACGAAGCATTGCATTCTCTATGAGCAGCTCCTCTAAATAATCCAGTATTGTGATCATGATCTCGAACTTTTATAGATTGGTGATCAAAATCACGCTCACAAATGTGGCAGGAATCTGCTATAGAAAAATCATATTCTTCCTCTAGAGAAAGTTGTTTCATAGCGATATGGATTTTGTTCCTTTGTATGCAAAAGCTAGCTTGTAGATTCACTTCATCTATAAATTTGTCAATGCTATTTGGACCACGATATTTCGATATATGAACCAGTTTCTTATTTGGGCCAATTACTGCAAGATTATATCCTGAAATTTCGTGTTTATCTATTGAGGTCGTACTGGTATTATCGTCTGTGAGTATTGCTTCAAAATCTCCATACATCACAAAGTTACACTTTAGTTTATTACTAAGTTTTTTACTCTCGAAAGAGCAGAATGGAATTTTTCCATCAACGACTGAAGGAACCGAAACCTTTTGAGTTTTAAACTCAAAACACAACTGCTGATGTGAATCAAGACGCTTTTCATCTCCAAAAGTATTCAAACAATTGTAGCAAACAAATTTTCGATGATGTCCCTGTCTGTTGATTAAGCGAGAAAAATTCAGGATGGACATGTAATGCCCATGTTGCTTAAAAGCATCCTGAATGTATAGAATGTTTACGATTTTATGCGTTCTGCTATTTGCATGAGGTGTTAAGCGTAAAACGTTAAGCTGCTCTTCTTGATCAATACCAAACACATTTATACCAATTTTAATATGTTGGTGGCGCTTTTCGAATGCTATGATATCTTTCAACGATGCTGGAAACTTTAACGAAGAGAAATCGTAGTGAGTTTTAAATTTTTCATATTGAGATATTCTTCCACGATGCCTGTTATCTACTGAATCTCCGTGCATGCAGATCAGAAAAGCTGAAACAAAGCAATCATTTTCCTTATTATCGGGATTCACAATGGCATTCTTATTTTTCAGATGGCTGGGAATGATGCACGAACATCCACCCTTTAATATTTCAAATTGAGCTGTTCGTATATCACAGCCTTTCACTTCATCTAATATCCAACCACTGCCATTTCGTTCGAAGATTTCCACATTATTATCGATTTCATTGACCATGTCACAAAAGATTCTATTAATGTAGAGGGGACTGAGGAGAATTTTATGAGAAGAATTAAAATATTGTTCTGTTGTTTCCATGAATTCTACCTCTTCTTCATCCACGCTTGGATGCATACGTTTAAATTTACACAAAATCGTTATTTGAAACTTAATGCTACCATAAATTGAAACATTGTGAAATAGAATCTGATTAATTTTAAACTTAAATCTATTAAAAAAATCTCTAACAGAAATAATATTATTATCCTCATGTGTATTTCTAAATCTGTAAGTTTTCATAAAGCCTCTAAAGGCTTCAATTTCAGAGAAAGGGAAAGCATTCAGTCGTAGCCCTCTTCCTCTTTGATCAAATTTCATGGATTTTATAACTCCTCTTTTATGAGCTTCATTGTGCTCTATAAGATCAAAAATGCTGGCTGAGAAGTCACAATATTCACATCTATGATAAGTATTCATATGTACTTCTAACAATTTAGACGACCTGAATGACATGGTACAATATTGACATAATTTTCTCTTGTTTTCATCTCGGTGCCTTAGTAAATGTGACGCAAAATGCTGACGATTTAAGAATCTCCTAAAACATTTCAAGCATTGGAATGTTGTCGCCTTAATACGAGGAGCCTGCCAAAATAAAACAACAATCTCAGTAACTATCAACAGTTTATACACATTCTTGTCTAATCATTCTTGTCATTCTTGTCATTCTCGTGATCTCACCATTTTCTTTGTGATTTTCTTTGTGAAGCACTGAGAAAAAAAAACAAATTTTGAGAATTAATTGTATAAATTTAAACTTGGAAATTTAAAAATAATAAATAAATAAAAACTAACTTACCAAAATTTCCAAAATCAAAGTCAAGAAGTGTGTATTCTAAAAATGCTTGTGAGAAAATATGTATAACAACATCTTTTTTTATATCTCGGCGTGACGTTATTATCTTAATACCAGGAATGTGTTTACATATAATAAAACATACCATCACTTCAACTCCAATACTGTAAAAAATATTAATTACCACTTACCACTATTAACCGTATTTTGTAAATAATTGAATTAGTAACCCCTAGGGAGTTATTACATTTTTACGGTATGTACTTATTTTGGAATTTTTTTTTTGTAAATTACTAAGACTATAAAAACAATTGACAAAGTAATGAGCAAGTTAGTCAATGTTTCAACATTGCAAAAGATTCTGAGAGAGAGTCTGAGGACGCACGAGCTTTTCTTCTTTCTCACCGTCGACAACCTGAAGTCTTTGACGCTGGATTCGTCGTAGACGATGATGAGGAGGAACCAAGCGGACCTTTCACTGATGAGGAGGAGGATGAAGACGAAGAGGACGAGGATTCTCCGTCTTAGCCAGAGGAGGATCCCGATTTTGTTCCTGCAAATGAACATTCGCAAAAACGTAAGATATTTTATTTGATTTATTAGGTCATATACTTATTGTCCATTTTTAATTTAATTGTAAATTGTTTCTACTATCAGGGCTGAACCCCGTGGATGATTTGTATGCAGTGCCTAAGTCAAAGCGCAAGGAACCTGCAACCAAATCAAAGAAACTGGAGCCAGTTGTTAAACTGAAAAAAGTTGATATATATACGGAACAGAAACGACGACGGGAAGCAAGGGAGAATGCAGCTGATGCGAAGAAGGTTGACGCTGCTTCCAAGAAGGAGCTAGATGCCGCTCGTCGAAACCCGTTAAGCCTGTTCTACACTGGTCCTGAAGAGAAGACAGTCAAGGCTGCTGCCGCCGCTAACAAGAGGAAGATGGCTGAAAAGGGTAAGATGTTAATAATTATTTTAAAATGTGAATAGGGAAATTTGTTGTAATCATAAGCTTTAAATTTTTATTTCTATTAATTGCAGAAAAGTCCCCAGCGGAGAAGAGAGGTCGAGTCAAGAGTGTTCCGCCTTCTGCTGTTCCTGTTCCTTCATCGGCGCTTGTTCCTGTTGCTCGTACTACGATTCCTCCTGCAAGCTCATCATCATCAGCTCCGGAGCACATATGAAGCATAAGTGCCTTCATCATCTTACAAAGGTCCTATTTCGCTTAATTTTGCTCCCGAAGGGGAAAGGAGTGACGATCATAGTGGACAAAATATTGTCCATTGGGAGGGCCAGCTAGGTCAGGGGTTTTGGCTAAAACTCCAAACTTGGAGAAAAAATGGGCAGGCTTATGTCTGCATCAGAAAGAATCAAACCACAGGGGCAAACCTGTCGTTTAAATATTTTCAATCGTTGGTTGCAGCGTGCAATACCCTGCAAGCAAAGATTGACACTGACCCTGATTATACTACCTGGATCCCATAAATCCTTTCAAAATTAAACTGAAATCTATTTTTTCTTTACCTCTCTTAAGCTGAACAAGTTGGTTGGTCAGAGGAAGTAGATTCTAATCAGGGCGTCTATAAAAATTCGGAAGATCTTATAATTATTTCAAATAACGATTATATAATGGGACATACACAGTTTTTTCACTTCTTGCCTATAACACTCCAAAGAAAATTAAAATTTGTTAAATCATGTAACGTAGCTATGGCTTCGATTTTCCAAGCAAAAGAAAGCTTTCTTTTACCTGACAATTTTTGGTATCCCGTTTTGATGGTATCTCGTCATTATATGGATTGAATGTAGTAGCTGATTTCCTACATATTTCAAATATATAAAAATAAGTCGATAATTATAATAGTTTGACTAACAATTGAAGTTTAAATAAAAAATGTATAAATATTAACCTTCTAGATGACTATAGAACGGTCCACTTTATTAGGAAGACCTTTGAAAGTAAATTTCCAACAAAGTTGCACCCTCAATCTGCTGGTTATGATTTGTACTGTCAATCCGGAGCGTTACTTAAAGCAGGGGAAATGATATTGATGGATATTGGGATTCAAGTTAAATTACCGTTGGGCCATGTTGGTTTGATTAAACCAAGGTCTGGGTTAGCGTTGCGGCATAAAATTGACGTCATGGGGGGCGTGGTCGATGAAGATTTTGAAGGAACTTTGGGGGTTATGCTAATCAACCATGGGAAACTTCCATATCAAGTTGAACTTGGGGATCGTGTTGCTCAGTTCTTGATTATAAAACTCCATAATTTACCGTTGAAGAAGTCTACGTATGATGAAATTATTACCACCACAGCACCTGTTGCTTCTCGGCGTGGAGCCAAAGGATATGGCTCCTCTGGAAAATAAAAACGAGCAATTTTTACTATATTCAATATAAACTAAGTAAAATTTACTTAACTTAAATCTCTTTCACCATCCTTCCTGCACGACCCTTGATTTAATAAATAAAACACACGCACAAACTTAATCCAAATATTTAATTTAATAACTGAAATAACTGCACCTGAAGAACATGCTTGCATTAGTTGGTGGGCGAGCTTCTTGTTGGAGCTACTAGTGGAAGAAACTTTTCTCTCTTGGTCGAGTTACTTTCACTTTCCGCTGTAAGACACAATGTTGCAGTAAGACGAAATATTTAACTTGAAAAGAAAGAAATAATAATAATGAAAATCATAACCAAAATCTAAAATAATTAATGAACTAAGCATACCAAGCTTAATTTTGTAAATATTTTGCAATGAAACATGCGTATTTTCATATGTACATATATTTCATGTAACCTACACACTTACCAGAAAATAAAACCTTCATTTATCATCCTATCTTTGGTGCTGTTGTTACAATTTATTGATATCAATCTCCATCCTGTATGACCCTTCATCACACAAACACACACACACACACACACACACACACACACTTTTGCAAGTATTTATTGCAATATTGAAAATATCTCCTCTCAAATGTTAATTTTTTGCTTTGCAAATTGCACGTTGCATTTAAGTTGATATTAGTAGTAGTGAATAACGTGTATGGCTTACATTAGTTAATGAGCAAGCTCCTTGTAGCAGCAGCTGCTCGGAGAGAAAACTTTATCTCCTGGCTATATTTTGCTTACTTTTAATTACATATAATATATAATATATTATATATATATATAATAATAATTTATTCAATGAATAATTCTTACAAGGCTCATGGCCCATAGAATTACAAGTTAATTCTCAGCATGTTTAACAATATAACAGGTTACATTGTATCAACTACAAATTTCAAACGAGCAATTTACGACATAACATCATAACCGCAGAATAACAAGTTGCATTTTGTCAATTACAAATTTCCAACTACTCATGTAAAAGTCGAAGCGTTATCTCAGAAATTGTATTAATCATGTATCTTCAAACTTGGTACTGGTAAAAAGCTCTACTTTAACTACGTAATAATACAAATCACTTCACAGCAAATAACTTTTTCGAGCCGCCGTACCTGTCGTAAGTTAGCATGCTAAATAGTACAAAATTCTGTATTACAAGGTGTTACAATTCGCTTCAAATCTGACCAAAGTTCAACATAACAATGTGACAAAACATCATACCAATACAATAACAGCGTACAGTTACAAGATCGTAATAAGTTATAACATTACAACGTAATATGTATAACACCGTAACCGGAGACGTGTGCTTTAATAATAACCAATGCGAATTTCGAATGTTCAAGTAAATTAGGTATACAATTGAGGGCCTAAGTCCAGGCGGTGTCAGCACATTCCAGACATGGTGAGAGCAGAATCCCAATATAATGATGACAGCAAGAATGTTCCACCCCCAGCTCCCTACAGCAATGATGAATGCCAGGTTGCATGGGTGCGACCGGGCGTCCCCAGAGACCCCATGGTTCCCAGCGGGTGACCCTTTGGGCGTCCCCTCAAGGTCGACGAGATGTGGTAGGCAGGGCGTCCCCATCCCCACCACACCAAAAAAATTCCTCCGCAGTTGTGTAGGACGGCAGCCAGGGTAGATTAGAGTGACACAACGTATTTGTATTACACAATTTTCACAATACAATAAATTCCATTACAAATACAAACAACGTATGTACAGTATCCCACTTAATTGTGGATGCAGAGCATGCATGCATTATATAAATCACAAATTCTCCAAAATGGGTCAATACTTCAAATTGATTTTTACACCAACTATCAGCAATATTTCATACTACAATCGTGCAAAATTTCAAATGAATTCGTCCAAAACTGATAAAATTATAGATATTCTAATATCAAAAAATTGCAAATTGCACGCCACAAAATTGTTGATACCGCCGAGTTTAATTATGATAACCGCCCAGTCTTTCACTGTAGATACAAATTTTGTTCGGGATTGCTTATTTTGCATAAGAACAGTTGTTTGAGTTGTCAATAAAAAATATTTTGTGGAAATTTTGTTTCAAAATAGTACATACATAACCACAGGTCAATCTAGAAATTCGAACAGAAAATCTTGCGGGTCATGAAAATGGGTGAAGTTATGGAAAAATTAGCGAAAAATTTGAAATTTCAAGACAACGTGTACAATATATTTCCAAAAAAGAAGAATTAAATGCCAAATCATTTTATCCATCACGACCATGGTCTAAATAGCCGTACATCGCCATGTCATGACTTATAAGAACAGTGTGGGTAGTCCTCGTCTACTCACACCAAAACTTGCGAGCGAGTCTCAAAATGACCTTTTTACTAATGTCCACTTATAAAAGAGTAGACACAGGCCGATATTCACTGAATTATCGGGAGATTTCCCAAAATAAACACCATAGATCTCAGTGGGACACCACAAGAAATCCTTAGCGTTAATAGGCCAAAACACTGAAGGTCCGCTTATGACAGGAAATATTTTTTCTTCCTGGATGAAATCAAAATTCAACTTCCTGGTTCAGATGGAGTTATCAGAATGTCGCGGAGGCAAAACCAAAGTGCAAACAATTGATTTCTGTGGGCAATTGTTAAAAATAGATATGTCAAGGAAATCTTGGCTGCGGGTTCATTTAGTATATGGTGTGAAACTTTCGAATTCTTGCCGGAATGTAATGGTTTGAGGCAGTTTCCGTTAGTGCGGGGTAGGAACCTTAAAATGTGTTGCAGACATGCTGCCAAATGAGGCTTATCTTGATTTGGTAAAAATAAATCTTTGTCGATTTGCAAAAAAATTGGACGTTGGTCACAGATTTATCTTCCAACATTACGAGTTTTAGATAAATATTACAAAAATCGTCTCAAAATGCTTCAAGGGTATTGCAATAAAGGTGTTGGGTTCGGGTTTTCAATCCCCCGACCTCAGCCCGATCGAGCATTGATGGGTACCCTGAACGTGTCATGCGGCATAACGGAAACCTATAAATCCAGCTAATCTGAAAACAATAATCACAGAAGGGTGGATGAAGATCGACCAAAGCGCCACTAAAAGATTGGTGTCGATGTTCAGACGAATTCAAGCCGGTATTGCAGCTAAAAGTAGGCACATAAAATATTGAATGGGCTATTTAGCTGCATCTACAATTTTGTGGCGTGCAATTTGCAATTTTTTGACATTAGAATATCTATAATTTTATCAGTTTCGGACGAATTCATTTGAAATTTTGCACGATTGTAGTATGAAATATTGTTGATAGTTGGTGTAAAAATCAATTTGAAGTATTGACTCGTTTTGGAGAATTTGTGATTTATATAATGCATGCATGCACTGCATCTACAATTAAGTGGGATACTGTACATACTCAACTTGAGATGGGATAAATTTCTCACCAACTTAAATGTAATATTTCGAGTCAAAATTTTTGATACAATGGTTAAAACAAACCGGTTGAAACGTTCAGATATCACAAGCAGTAATTTCTTAATACGTAATTGATAAGACAAGATTATCAGTTTCAAGTAATTAATTATTTCGTAATTAATTAAGGTACCACAAGAGGTTGAATATTTCAATTTTTTCTGGACTTAGCAACATGATTTTTTAGAGAAAATGAGTCAAGACATGAAGTACGGCTCCGCATAACAACAAGGGCATTGGGGCATTTTTAGGAGCTCCCCGAGATGGAGGGGATGGACTTTAAGGTCATAATGGTTGTTATTTGGAATCATTATATATTTCTGCAGGGTGTATAATCGGTTTGTGGGCTCATTTGTGTCTGGTAAAGAGATGTGAACCATTTTTGACCTCAGAAACATAAAATAATATGGAGGGGCAAGTATAGAAATGCTATTTCGAAAAGTATGGAAGACAATATGGAAATGAGACCCATTATGCTCCCCAAGTAAAACTATTTCGCACGATGTGGGAGTCGTCCCACGTTTGTGCTCCGTATGGTTTTGACGCTAGGACGTTTTAAAAAAAATTCATCATGGTCGACTATTTTGGATATAAATACGTAAGTATAAGTAACAGCAGAAGGGGACATTTACCAAAATTTAGAGTAGTAATTTTTTTACAAAATTTGTATTTGAACCAAATTTCTACCTACTATAATTTCTGAGAAAATTACAATCAAACTGAGTGGTATAATTCCTTGCCAACTCTCTTGTGGTACCTTAAATACGCCCACTTATGAGTGTAGTCTAAGAGAGTCTCGGAGAGAGCAACCTCACACCACCACGTGTCGCACACGTCGACTTTTAATTACATTTGTATCATATTATATTAAATTTTATAATTTTACACATTGTTATACCGCCACATGTACAAAGTCGGAGATATGAAATGTTTCTGATTTACAAATCAGAAAAACGTTGATTTCAAATTGCAAAAAAAATATATCGAAGTTGCAATAAGTTCGTAATTAGCATTTAATTATCTGGATATAATTACTCGACTAATTTTTTGGCGAACACTTAAAATTGACCACCTATGCGCGCGTGCTAGCTTTTCCCTCTTGGAGGAGAATTCCCAATTTGTTGGTAACTCGATTCGAGGGATGGGCGCGCTCACTACGAGGGATGGGCATTTCCGTCTGCTTAGGGATGGGAGTGCCCATAAAACTACTGGGTCCCCTCCGTCGAAGACTAGACTGCCCGTTGTAACCCTTCCCTGGAATATAGTAGTGACTCTTTAATTTAAATCAGAAACAAGATTAAATTTGCCAAGTGAGTGTAAAGTTTCACGGTAATTTGATAATGCATGTCAAATTGATAACCAATTTTATGTAGCTGCCGTAGGTGTTGCCAATACTTCTTGGATTGACTGTATATTAGCATGAAAAGCATTTGCGACTAAAGCAAAGAATTCCACGTACACCTTATATACTAATAAGTGTGCTTGTCAGTGTGTGATCGTGCAAACGCAGAGCGAAATAGATGCAACGATAAAGGAATGGCGCAGTGATTGATTTC